CAGTGTATACCAAGCATTCAGAACTGTTTAAGGTAGCCCTACAACAACTCTTAACTTCATCCTTAGTTAGACCCCAGTCTCTCACACACACAAAGAAGGCTTTGTTTATAAGTGTACATTCTGTGATTGGAGCAGTGGCTATCAGTGTCATCTCATGGGAAGAGCTGTTATTCATTTAGCTAAAAGTTTTCTTTAGATTACAGCAAGTCCTTGTTCCTGACAATTGCCAGGTCACAGTAAGCTTTCCTAGAGTTTCTTACTGGTCTCTTTGAAGTGTAGGGCCACTCATCACCAAAACCAAGGGGCTCAATTAGCCTTTAGCTTAGCTACAATTTAGATATAGCACAAAATCCTAGAAATTAAAAACAAGCCTAATCCAACAGGACTCATGGAAAACATTTAAAGCATAAAGCTTACTTTTTAGTCTCTTCATTTTTCTTTTTAGCAGTCTCTTCATTTTTCTGTTTAGAGGTGCTTTCTGCTTCAGAATTCTTTGCTATGTATAGAAAAGTAGATCAACTTTACGAACTAGACCCATGAACACAATACAAAAATTCACATGAGGAACAAATCTGGTGATCTCTGTGCAGTATTTGCAACAGCTCTTAGAATACATTCAATAACATTTTTAACAACTTAGTGTAGCTTACTACTGGCAAAGCAGCACAGCAGTTATCAGTGCTACCAAAATGTAATTTAAAACACTTTCTTGAAATTAAAACATTAATAAGCTTCCTCATCAAAATAAATTACAGTATTTTTGTCTATAAGAGATTAACATTAATACTAGAAGAACTGTGATACGTGGGTACCACTTACATGAATACACAGCTGACTAGTGAGCATCTGGACATTTTTCAAGGAAAGAAACATCCATATTGGTAATATCTAAGTTACAGTCTGTGTTGCTGTTCTGTTTCAAGGCACAACCAAGTACTTCTCTACAGGGCTGCCCCACATCATCATCATCACCACCCTAAGTTCTTCTGCACTGCACTCTGCTTCATACAGCAGAAGTATCTTAAATGTCACAACTGTATAAAAAAACATGTACAACATTCTAAGAATTACCAGGGACCGGAGCCTGTTGAGGTTTTTCATTGTTCTTGCTTGGAACTTGAGGCCTAGAGGTTGTTTGGACCAGAAGTTTTGGTCGGGGCTGCTGCATTGTCTGGGGATGAGACAGTTTTTGGTTTGACAGTACAGATTTCTGTGATTGCACAGGAACTCTCTGGGCCAAGTTTGAAGGACAGAGGACACGTTGTGCTTGGACTCCACTGTTCAGTAAGCGGCTCTGGGCAGAATGCTGAGACACAGGGACACGTTTTGGGCTATCCCAAATGGGATTGGCAACCTTCAGAAAGAAAAGATGATGTGTTAGTTATAGAGTAGCATACTGTAACTTTTATGGCTTCATTCAGTAGAGCAGGAAAATACCACAAAGCACATCACCAGGAGATACTAGGCTAGCCTGGTCTTATGAGTAAAGGTCTTCTTAAATTTCTACATTGACAAGAGGTAGGTAGCAATTTCCTACAGCACTGTACTTATTTACAGGTAGCAGAACATTTACACACACATCTGAAGAACATCAGCCAAAGCAATTAAGGCAGCAGATCCTTACTATAAAGGCATAGTATTTGAGTTATTTCTTCCTTTAATGCTATTCATCTTAGCATACCTTGCATTAGCAATGGAAGTTCAGCAAAGTTCAACTCTCTGCTTTAAACCTTTTACATCCAGTAAGGGAAAGTAGTTTAGGTTTATATTTTAAAAATCCTTCATTATTCTAGAGTCCTTTGCCTATAATTAAGTTAAAAAGCTAATTATTACCTTCACACATTTTTCACCCTCTAATGGTACCTATGCAACAATTTGTACTTTTTTCCTCCCCTAGATACTATTTACTCTTCTGGTTTGATTCATTAATGTAACATATTGTCAGCTTGATTAAAAAGAACCTTTGTCTCTACTATTCTCAAACCTTACCAGGACCTAGCTGGTTTTACATCAAAATAGTAAGAAAGCACCTGTATTTATATATATACATATATATACATATATATATGTAAACTATTACTGCTGCTCAGGCATGTCAATAGTGACATTAACATAGTGCTTGCTTTTGGAAGTCATATCTGGAATCAGTTGTCTACAAGCATTTGCTTTCCCTTTAAAGGATCTTGTATTAAAATGTCAGGATTTCAAATTTCAAGTACGACATACTAATATAGGTAATAAAAAAGCCCTGAACAAATGTTGTTTCCAAAAAAAGCTACCGAAATACAGGAAATGGGCAATTGTTTCCTGCCCATAGGAAACGTTGTTTCAAGACAGTTTTTTCCCCAATTTTCCTATTCGATACCAGTAATAACCACCACAGACAGCATGAAACGTGCAGCTCTTGAGTGACCCGGAGAAACACGCAGCAGCCTCACCAGCCGTTTACCTTGGCAGCACGACCAGGGTACCCGGAATGGTTCTCTTTCGTGTTCTTGTCCATAGTGCCCGAGCAGCAGAGCTACACACAGCTTACCCTACAGACGAGACGTAACGGTGTCAGTTGCACAGAACACACAGCGTCTTGGAGCTCAAGCCCCCACTTCTCCTCCCCCCCCAACGGCGGGAGGCCCGGAGA